GGGGGGGGGGGGGGGGAGAACCACCAACAGGGCAAAAGTACAGCTATGATGTAAAATAGCTTAGGTCTCCAGGAAATTTATTTTGATCTACTTACAGAAACTTATTTTTCCCAGCTGTGGGAAAATCATATTCTTGCCGAGAAGATAAATCTATTTCAAATAGTTAAATTACAATTCTTGCTTATCTTTTTGCTCAGTTCAAGTCACTTGTCTGTAATAAGACAGCATATCATCTAAACTTTGATAAAGTGGTTCCTGATTTTGAGCGTCACTGCTGTCGGTCTGTGCTGGCGGCGGCACATCTTGGGCGTTGCAGCCGCAGGCCTGTGCTGGTGGTGGCACATCCTGAGCGCTGCAGCCACACGCCTGCACTGGCGGTGCCACATCCTGAGCGCTGCAGCCACACGCCGGCATTGGTGGTGGCACATCTTGGGCGCCATAGCTGTAAGCCTGCATTGGAAAGGGCATATTGTGAGTGTTGTAGCCGTAAGCATGCATCGGTGGCCCCATGCCTTGAGCGCCGTAGCCGTAAGCCGGCATCGGAAAGGGCATATCGTGAGCACTATAGCCATAAGCCTGCATTGATGACAGCATGTTTTGAGCGCCGTAGCCGTAAGCATGCATCGATGGCGGCACGCCTGGAGCACCGTAGCCGTAAGCCTGTGCCGAGGGCAGCAGATCCTCCTCATCGCTGCTGTCATCCTCTGATGACGATGATGGCACATCTTGTGGGTTGCTGCCACCGGCCTCTCTTGAGGTTGGCTCATCTTGAACACTGCTGTTGTAAGGCTGCGCTGCCGGCGGCACATCTTCAGAGCTGCTGCCATTGGCCTGCGCTGGTGGCATCTGCTGACTTTGCACTGTGTCTGTTTCCAGTTTTTCAGAGGAAGTTTCAGGACTGTTCAAATTCTGACTTCTGTAAGTATCATCTTTCTTTTGTCCCATAAAGTAATCAGAAGGTGGTGCAAATTCTGGATCTCGCTCATCTCTGAGTTCCTCCTGTTTCTTTGACCATTGTCCAAACATCAATTCTGTTAGAAACAGGAAAAATGGTAGATTGAATATAGATTTCAGGGTCTGAACATCAGTCAGAAAGGAGGGAAAACAAATTAGCGAACAGAGAAGATGAAGCTGTGTAAAGCCATTTGAAATAACTTTCCATCTAGTACTCGATTGCTGGCTAAGCTGACAGTCCACTTTCTTTACAGAGCAGGAACAAGGGCATTGAGCATTAAACATAACCACCATCCTTGTGAAACTCACCCTAATCACTTTAAGATCCTTTAACAATATGGCCATTGGTTACGAAAAATGACTAATTAGTTAGGGGTGAACCAAAATACAGAGCCATCAAAGCATTAAGATCTTAGTTAATAGAAGATGGAAATGATGAGATTATCTCTAGTAAGCAAAGGCAAAAACCAGTAACTTCTTTATTTCAACAGAAGTGGTAGATATTCTAGTTAGTGACAGCTGCTGATTTCTGATTAAAAATACTTCTGAAGTACTGCAATGGGATGACAGCTCAAGATCACCACACTTAAAAAGATATCCCTAAAACCTTCTCCAAAGATGTTTCCCAAACCTACTCTCTAAACCCAGTAAAATTCTTTTCAGTATTCATTTCTATCAAGACTTCTGTAAAAGATGAAGTTGAAAATTCTGACGTAGAAGGGCTACATATTTGTCTGATGTAAAAATATAACAAAATATGAAATAGTAAGGAGGAAAGCATCTAAGAGAGTGAGGAGTTTTGTTTATCCTTCTTATAATAACTTAGATGCTTGTGTTACCTTTATGTTTAGTGAACCACAGTTATTTTACTTCACATTTTAGAGTAAACTGTCCTCTGCTCTCCCAGTGTAGTATTTGTTGCATAGTACAGTGCTGCCTGGGTATCAGTCAGACACTAGGATTCCTCAGAGGCGGGGAAAAAAAAAAAATCAGCGTTGGGCAGGATAGAGATTTAACAGATAGGACCTGAAAGTTTTGGTTTGTAATGGAACCACAAAGTTTCCCCTCACAATGATGTTCATTAACAGAACACAAAGACAGCTGTGAAAAGTAAAAAGAAGCTGGAAGTAATAGTCCTGCACAGAATAGGAATGCTGCCTGGGTACTAAAGGTGGACATTTGTGTGCTTTGCCTATTTGGTGTTTCCTTTTACTTAGAAGTCAGGCATCAGACTACAAGAATGTGCATCAGCTTAGATTAAAGTGTAAAATGAGTTAATGGGTTTGGGAAGGATCTAGAAGACAGCCATCACTGGATGCTTCAAGATGGGACACTGGCACTGAAGTGGTCTCTGCTCACATCACTTTTTAGTATCGTCCTGTACCAGTTTCAGAGTAACACATCCGCCATCACATAGCGCAAACTACAGCAATACATCAAGAAAAGATCACACTGAAAGACAGTGAATCTTACGAACTATGAAACTTGTCATTCTGCCAACCTCTCTGGATCATCCAGAAATTGAGTAACTCATACAGAAGAAAAAATTATAGGGACATTTTACTGGCGCTAAGGCATGCCTTGTCAATCACTGCACTGGACACTAGATAGTCATCAATACAACAGCAGAAAATATTTCATTGCTTCTCAGTCTTGCCATACTTTGTCACAAAATAGAAATGAAAATAACAGTATGCACACTGCTTCCAGACAATGTTTCTGAATCTACATTTCCTTACCTTTGCCTTTATCCCACTCTCGGACATAGGGCACTCCAGGCTTTGTATCTCTTCTCTCCTGGATGACAACCTCTACCTTTCTACTTGCTGCAGTAACTCTTGGAGCTTCTGGTTCGTCAGTAACACCTTTCACCTCTGTGTTACAGAAAGAGATATTAGCTTTTGTTAGTTATGGATAAAATTCATATAACTTCATAGGAGGGATGGGAAGCAAGAGTTATGTGCATTTATAGAGCTCATACTAGTGATTCAATTTCATTCTAATAATGAAATGTATCTGAGTGGGGAGGTGATTTTTTTTTTTTTTAAATTACTGCGTATTAGTTCAGAAAAGATAATGGGTAAGCCAGATAATCGGGAAGCATATCTGCCAAGAGACACTTCATGAGCTTTCTAGCTCTATCAAAAAGACTGCTGAAAATCTATAGCCTAATAGCCCAAAAAGAAATGTGCTGAGTGTTATACTGAAACTAGAAGATTAGGTGAAAATAAGAACATTAGCATGTTATCTCCATTTCATTTACTGGAAGAAAACAATTTGCATTCTTATTCTTCTGAACAGTAACAGTGGCACATCAGTGTTCTTTGTTTCCAGAACACTTCCCAGTTAATCACTTGCATAGAATTCTGACAGTGAAATATTAGCTATGTTTTACAGTAGGAGGCAGACAGTACAAGTGAGTAGCAGTGTCGTAAGGGAGACAGCGCAGAGATGGAATTAGAACTCAAAGTCATTATCCTAAATCCTAAAGCAGCTCTATGTCCAATTTACAGACTGCACTGAAACTGTAGGAGTGTGTATTATAAGATATCAAAATTAACTTGTTACTACTTTTTATTCATCTTAAAAAAAGTAAAATTTCAGCAGCTCTAACCTCAACCTGCATAATTAACCCACATAATTCCTGCTGTCAAGTATAAATCAAAAAAAGCCTATGATCTACATATCACATTTCTACCTGCATTATTAAGCTATTTCTGGCATCATTTCATATCTACAGTCACATGAACTCTCACTATCTTAGCAGTTATAATAATTGCATATATAGAATATGTAAGACCAATATATTGAATGTCCAAACCTAAATCAGAGTACCCCTGTCCATCAATCAAGTACAGGATGAAATAGCAAGTATTTAATTTTAAAAGGCAGATCATACCTCCATTCTCCAATTTTTCTGCCTCTTCCTCTAATCCAGCTTCCCTTAACTTCTTAATCTTCCGCGCTCGAAGTTTAGACAGCCTCGCATCCAGAGCTGCCTTCCTCTTTTCTTTTAGCTGTTCACGTTTAGTTCTCTGATCAAGTGTCTTAACAGCAAAGAAAAACATGAATTAATCTCCCTTTGTTATTATAATCACCTACATATCTTCCTTCACTAAATTACTAAAATCAACCCTGATCAAGTACCATGCTTCAACAGGGGAAAAAAGGACCATTTTTTCTGGAGCCAGCTGCAGGCATCACCTAGTATAAGATTTACATGACAAATCAAAGACAGTGATCACTGTAACTAGGATGCCCTCATACCCCAGTCTGCTCTTTAAACTCGTACCTGCTCTCTTAGCATATCCAGTGTTGCCCGTTGTTTATGCCTAAGTTCTTTGTCACGAGAAAAGGCAAAGTAGCCAACACCAAGCTGTCTGGCCTCTGCAAAGAAGAAATCAGTGAATTTAAGTTACACTCGAGTTTATAATTGACAGTAACTACAAGCACCATTGTAGTTCAAGCAAGGAATTACTCCCAACAACATACATCACATCAGTTTTAGGTGGCTAAAAAGGGCTTGTTTTAGATGATGCATGAAATGAAGGAGAAGACAGGAGGAGGTAATGAAATCTGAAAAAAAAAAATTGAGAAAAAAACAATTTGAGGAAAAATAACTCTAGATTTATGTACTGGTAATTTGAATGGTTATTACACATGTGGCTTAACACATACCCACACTTTGCCATATAGGCACAAGAAGTAACTTGTCCTTGCTTCGTCTAAAACTAATCTCTTTGGTGACATAAAGTTAAGTGATACAAAGTAAGGAAGTATACCATTTTCCCGAATGTCCTCATAATGTATGGGTCCCATGGGTTTTCTGAGTGCTTCTTCTTCTTCTTTTTCCCACTGCTGCCTCTGAAGTTCTCTTCTCATGTCTTCAGATAACAGAGTATTCCCATCAGGACCTTGTCTAATTAAAAATATAATAAAAATAAAAATCTGGGATTACAGAGCAGAATTTACCAGTTTTACTGCATCAAACAGTGGAAGTGTGATTGGGTCTGATCCACTATTGCAGTTTTTACAAAACACAGATCATTGTAAACACCATTTAGTGATGCAAGTTTCATGACTATGGTGCATGGTGAAGACAGAAAATATAAAAACTACCTCTGAAACAAGGTACTAGAAGAATATGTTATTAAAAGACAAAACATACCCTTTCTCAGAAGCTTTATGAAGTCATTATCAAATCACAGAATGGGAGATGAAATAATCACTTTTATTGGCATCTGTTGGGATGCCAATCACACATAGAAACATTTCAGATTTAACATAAGAAAATGAAAGGTATTTGAAATAACAAAAAACTAGCCATTAATTTACCTAGAAGTCCATGCCAAATACTAATACTCAATATGGGAAATATTTTTGTTTTCCCAAGAGAAGCAGCAGGATCTTTTTCTTTTGTCTAGCTAAAGCTGGTTTTGCTGACCGACTGTCATCCATATCAATGCAGAGACTGCAATTTCAAAACACTCATACTCTTCATCTTATGTTTAAATTATAGAGAACACAATACTGAGTTTTTAGTGTGAAAGAATTTTCACTTCAGTAAGGGCTGTTGAGGTGCCTTTAGATTATTTTCTGAAAACAATTCTCAGTGCTGCCATAGTAACTTCAACAGAATAGCTGTTAAACAGCTGTTTAACATAAGAGCAAAACCAAACAAATGGAGGTCTAACAAATTCACTTTGAATGTCATGATGACTTTGGAATTGCTAAAAGACTATTGTCAGTTTCCAGGCTAAACAGAACCAGGAATCACTTCTCTGGCATTTTCTGGAAGGTATAATAAAATGCAATTTTCATGCAAGGACCACAGTTTTAAAAGATGCATCAAATATCTGAGAGATTGCTAAGTTAAATTTATTAGAACTCTTCTCTGCAAACTATGCTCTGTAACTGATGTTTTAGATTTAGTCAGCGTTTACATCAAAAAGAGTGCCCTAGTAGTAGTTTATTAAAAATTTCATTTGGGCTTTTAATTGATATCCATGTTCTCCAATCTGTTGCAATTTAAAACCAATACACCAGCCACGTATTTCAAATAGTCAGCTGCCAAGGTGAAATAGAAGACTTGAAATACTATCTGAATCTGTAATAGAAAGTTTCGATAAAAATCAGTTATGCATAATTACTCTGTAGCTACTCTGTCTAATTTTTAAGGCACAGTGTTGTAACCAGCAGAAGTTTTTCTCAAATAGATCTAGAGAAAGCAGTAGCATCAACAATTCTGGATTGAGAATGAGGTAAAAAGTACAGCTTCTCTTCCTTCTCATAACATGTTAAATACTGCATGAAACAGCCACTTTCATTAGAGAAACCCCACCTTTTCCCTTGAAGTTCCTGATCCATTTTAAGTAGACTTGGTAAATCCTTCTTCATACAGCGTCTAGATCGGCCCAAGAAATCAACATAATCAACCCTGTAATGAAAGTGAAGGAAACTTCATGCAGAACTTCTGTTTGCAGATTTACAGAACTCTTAACCAGAGACATAAGCAGTGACACTTTCCAAATAGTGTTTATCACCTCCCAGGCTCTCCATGTGTGACAGTTTCTCCTACCTTTCAATTAACAGGCTCATGAGTTAAGAGGACACATTCTGAACAGGGCATATAACAGTTTTACCACAGACACTTACTCAATCTCCCTTTGAGCTGGCTGTTTGCCTTGGCAATAAGATGTTGTAAAAAAATGTTCAAAAGTTACAATGTCATGCAGTTTTCACACCAAAATAAAACTGAGCTTAGTACTTGCTTCCCATGGTGAAAATAATGATGCTGCATTGACTTCGTGCGGATATGAAATTGCTACAATATATTTCAATTATCAGCCTAAAGCTCATTTAGAATAGGCTGATAGCATTCATTCAACTGGCACAACAAAGGCTGACTAAAATGCAAGCAAAATGGTCCTTTGAAGCACATATTATGCTGCTTATGCAACTCTTTATAGTACTGAACACTTAATTTACACTTGTCAAAAAAGCTGTTAAGAGCTATACTTATTGTCCTGTCATGCTAGAAAGTTCTTTAGCATTAAGCTGCCTCAATTATCCCATCTAAAGAATTAATATTACATCTGAAAAAGTATGACTGGCAATCTGGTTCCCAAAACCCAAACTTTTAAAGATCTGTGCTTTTAGTAAGTTAAGTCTTTTACATAATTTCTAAGGATATCTACAGCCTAGTATATAGCACTCAGTGCCCTTTGTTTTTTATTACGATGTAACATCCGTAGAAAAAAAAAGTCTGCATTCTCTACAGTAAAGATATAACTATGGTGGCAGAATAATTATAATTAATTATGCCAGCACCCAAATATCCTCATTAGGATATGGCCTCACTGAGATGGCCAATCTATTAATAATAATAATAATACATGTTATGAAGTGAGATGTAGGCAGTCATAGAAAAGCACAGTGTGAAGAGTAAAATGTACCAGTTTAAATTTCTGCTACTTCACGGTGATGAGAGCACAAGGTAGTTTGAGCCCATCACTGACTGGATCATTGACAGTTTCATCTTGAAATTCAGTAAGACGCTGGTAATGGGTCTATCTGCCTTTCCAACCCAGCAGTCTTCTGAGACTCTGCTAGATTCATTCTCACAGTTTATTCTGAAACATTACACTGCAAATCTTATTCTTGGTCTAATGAACGGGAGAATGGGGGTGCTCTTTCTCATACTGGTTACTGCTGTTTTAACCTGATTACCAGAAGCAAAATCTCTGTTCCATAAGCATTTTAAACAAATGGGCGAGGAAAATGTTTAGTTAGACCAGTTTCATAATTATTCCCAATGTCTTGGATGAAAAACTAGTAGTTACTTGGAATGTCACAGAAAATCGTCACAGACTATTTGCTGTGCTGCAGTTAAACAGTGGAAGAAATGATGGGAAATTGTGTTCTTTTTCCAATCAGAGTTTCTCTCCTTTAAGAGGAGGTCACACAACGAAAAACTCACTTTCAAGTCATAGTCAATTAGAGAAGGGAAGGTGGATACAATAAAAACCCCAAGTTTTTGCTACATTTCAATTCAAAACATCAAAGCACAAAATTGTATCAATACTACAATCGGAACTCCCAGAAACTATGCAAGAAAATGAGAGGATATTACAAAGTCTCACTTATAGTACATTTCCCTGATTGATATTTCTCAAAATCCTGGATGTAGATTCTATTGCAGTGTTACCTACATGGAAAGGAAAGTAACATGAAGGGACTGTCTTTTAATGAGACATGAAATGAAAAAATGTTACCACCTCTTCTCAATGTGTAGCATTAACCAAAAATAAAGTGCTGCTCCACATACTTTGGGGAATAAAATTATTCTCTCATACAATTGTCAAGAAACAGACAAGTCAGGACAGTTTAGCCCCGTCAGTAGTACCAACCATTCTTCGTCTGGGTCCTCGGGTGGTGGTATTTCAACTTCAGGTTGAGTTTCCTCATCATCTGCATCTTTTTCTGAACTCTTTTGAGCAGCTTCGCTCTGATACAGTTCCTGTACTTCGTGCTGTTTGTCTATGATCTTCTGAGTGAAATCCACTAGGTACAAATCCTCAGTTTCTTCATCTAAGGCAGAAAATCGATTCTCAGAGAACATCCATGAAAAGAACAGAATTGAGCACAAAGTCAATACAAAATGGCCACAATCAGCTTTTCAGCTACCAGCAATGCTCTTGATCACACTATTGGGGAATACTTAAATCTCATTCAGTGCCAAACAATCTTGAAGCTATAAATTGGCTCCACAGTGATAACCTCTATTTCTGAGCAGAAGTTTTTAGGGTATTTTAAAGCAATTAATCATTTGTGTACAATCAGAAAAGGCTGCGGTCTTTGCACTAAGATATCCTCTGTTCAGAAGTTTGTTATGTAACAGTTCAAATAGGTTTTTGATGCTTAACATTTGGTGTATTGGCAGTAATTAAGCAGTCACTAGAGTACTTTTCTAAAAAGTAGAGAAAAGTGGTGGGGTCACGTGGACAAAGATGGACACTAGTAAAGAAAACATTAGAGATTAATCGCCAGGAGATCTGGATTCTATTTTCATAATTACTTCTTGCAAGGGACTGAGTGAGAGAGTAGAATTCTCTAACCCTATTAGCTGCATGACTGGCATTCATGTACGGACCAGCCAGACCCCCATCCTGCTCCTCTTCTCTTCATAAACGTGCAAGAATTAGAAAGCAGGACAGAACACCAGCAATACAATCCAAAGACTGCATAATGGAGAATAAATTAGTTTTGTTCTTCTAAGATTCTGTATTGAAAAAACAGAATATATTCCATCCACTTAAGGAATGAGTGGGTGAAACAAGCCAACAGTGCTTTACTAGGACAGGGTCTCCTTCAAAAAGTAATTTTATTTTCTCTAGTACTTATATTTTTTCTCCCTTTCAAAGCAGAATATCCCATATGAATCACTTTGTATAATAACTCCAAAAAAATTTCTCATGTAAGAAGGCAGGCAGTGAATTCATAGTGTAGCTGCTGTATATCACCAGTTAGAAAGACCAACTTTTAGGGTTAACTGTACAAATTTTTTTAATATATAAACTCATTTAGACTACTTTTATTCACCTGGAAAGTCGCCTTTTGTCATTTTCTCATACAGCTTTGCTTTCTCTTCTAGTTTTTTCCTGAAAAAGAAAAAAAAAACCCAACCCACTATTAACATCGCAATTCCACCAATTCCAAATACAGTTCAAAATGACCAGTTTAGCCTAGATAAATGGAACAGCAAAGTACCAGGAGTGCTTGAAATGCTTACTAGAAGTTGATTTAAGCCTGGCTTTTGTTTTGAACCTTCACTGACATTTCTGAGGATACACAGGTATCCAGTTTCAGAGTTTATACTGACAATAACTGTAGTGAAGTTACAGAATTAATCTTAAGGGTAATTTGTCAAGTAGGCAGGAACACAACGTAACAAGTATTCCATCTCTAACTACTATATCTGTCAGATAAATACTGGAAGCTAGACCACTACTTGCAGATATGAGATACTGTACTGTTTTACAGAAAATCAAAAAAAAAAAAAAGGAAAAAGAAAGAGTTACATGGAGTTACACTTAATCTTAGAAATTAAAGATAAACCTTAGCTAATTTCTGGAATGGTAGAAGACAATTTTGAAGAGCAATTAAATGCTTACAGAAAACCAGCAAATGGCTTATAAATCACATTTTCAACATCTATCTTATTGTGCATCTATTTAAAAGATGTGGTAAATCTTGCAAAAAAGTGAACCATTTTCTATTAAGTCCAAATAGAATGCTATAAAATTCTGATGTATTGCTGCCCCGGCTTTTAATTCTAAAGATGACTTTCAAAAAATCATTAACCTGACATACATAGACAGCTACAACACTGTGAGGGCAGGTATCCATAGAGCATGGGACTGCTGGATTACAGTTTGTACACTACTGGTAAGGAGCACAGAATTGATGCTAGTCTTACTGGTTGGGCTAATGAGAACTGCTGGTCCAAAACGTGCATAACTTGCTTTCTGTGCTTTTCTAAACACTGACAAACAAGTTCTACAAAGCATTCCTTTCTTACAGAGCTTAGGAGTTACCTTGACTTATCCAATATATGCTCCTCTTCTGCCTTTTGCTCAGCATCTTTCTCTGCTCGATTTGCAACTCCTGTGTTTTGTTTGTTCCAGATGCTTGGTTTCTGTGGAGTACAATTTTATAGCAACAAATAAATAAATAAAAATATCGAAGTGGGAATGATTAAAAAAAATATTTCTACTCCATAATGCAAACTTTGCAAATCAGTCATGACAGACTTTGTAAATAACATCTTAAACATGTTTGACTTGAGACTATACCTACTGTGCTGTAGGCTGCAGCAGGTATGTCCAGGAATTTATCCACAGACTGCAATGTAATATAATAATTAACGACAGGTTGAAAAGCAAAAAAAACCCCCAACAAAACGAAATCACTCAGAAATCAGACAAAATCTATTCTGGCAAAGATGTTAAGGTTAAAAAAAATTAGTAGGAACAATCTTCCTCGTTACTAAAGTAATAACAAACCCATTAATTGTTCCTATTACCTTAATTTTTGATACAAAATACAATCAGTTTGCCTGTTTACAGCATAACACTGTAAATGCTGCATCTTCTTCAAATATGGCAGCAATACTATATCCTACTACTAGAAATCTACAGAATTAATAAAACCCAGTCTGCAGCAAAGAGTAAAACATGGGAGAAAATTGTGTATTCATTATTGTACACCAACACACAGAGGAACAGATAGTAGAACATTTATCAAGAAGAGTGTCTCATCCTTCAGAGGAGCAGAAAAAAGAAACATCTTCTATAGCTACAAAAGCTGTGGCTCCCTGGGGAGCCAAGACTAAGTGGTGATTTAGAGGGGCATAAGCATGAGAAGTTTTCTGCTGTGCACAAGAATCTCACCTGGAAATGAAATTTAAAGAACATCCTCATCACGTAGATTTTACATTTGAATAGTAATATAGCTATGAGTATTTATTTATTTAGATTTGAATATAAACTTCCTTACTTTAAGGAGAAAGAATGTGAAAAACAACAATGGAAAAATATTTCTACCTTATTAGAAGTTTTGGGCTTTGTAAAGATGCCAGCATCTTTCAGTAGCTTTTCCTTCTTGAATTCTTCTTGCTTTCGGAAGAGTTCTGCTTTGAGATCTACCAACTACATCAACATCAAAACAAACAAATAACTAACCAAGACACATTACACCATATACATCAGCTACTGTAATAAAGTAATAACTGTATTTCTAGTACATCAACCTGGCATTTACAGTTATATGAGCATCTGATTGCATTTTGATATGGAACTTTGAAATACTGATCCAATCACAAAGATCGCTCTTAAGTTTACAGCAAACAATATGCAAAAAACACAAAATGCAAATTATTATTAGGGATTTTTAAAAAATGCCAAAGATGTCCTTGATTCTTTGATAAATAATAAGAATTACAGAGCCATAATTCCATACAGATTTTACCAGCCTCCCAATGGCAAATAGAGGACTAATGATATATCACTCTTGAAAAGGAAACTTCTAACCATTAGATAATGAATAAAGTCCTGACTCGGAAAGAACTGATAAAAGTTTGCTTTCATAGAATATATATACTTTCCCAGGGTTTTATATAGACTGTTTATATAGTTCTAGATTTTCTTTCTTCTTTTTTAAAAAATATGTAACACCGCCATCTATGACCAACGCCCATCTCATCTTTTATTAGGAAACATCACCAGCAGGGGTATTATTTTGAAATTACAGTAAAAAAACTAATCTGGGAGAGGATATTGTGTCATTTTCCGTGCAAGTCCTACAGAAAACAAATTTCCCTGAGAAACATTAAATCAGAGAAGTGGAAGACTCTGATGTTAGTATTTGTCCCAAACACTCACGCATTTGCTTTCCAGGGCTCTGTAACGATGTAAATATGTTGTAAATTAACCCTTCTTCCTCCACTGCTTAAAAGTGGTCACCCAAAAAGTCGTTAAATATTTCATATGCAACAACCCACAGTTTGCATTAACTGTTTATTAGGAAAAATGAAGAGATTAGCAGCCGTCTCTTGTTAACAGACCACTGGAGAGCAACGAGAAACAGCAGCACGTCGCCACCCCTAAGGGTCCGAGGTTAATTTACCAAGACAAGGACCTCCTGTTGGTCAGAAAAAAATAAGGAAATAAACTCATTTCCCTCTCGTACCCTCATTTTATCCTTACATCATGAACGAAGGCAAATTCAGCCCCGACACACTCAGGTCAAGAGCGCTGCGCGTCAGGAAGGCAAAGGGGCATCACAGCGCCGGGATGGGATTTCAGAGCGCCCAGCGATACAGCAGGATGCTTTCACCCAGCATTTCCTTTAATGAGCGCGCATTTCAGTGGGTCGGGGTTAAGGCGAGGGGACAGAAACACCCCCCCGCTGTGCTGTCTCCCCCGGGAGCGGCTCACACCAGCGCGGCCTCCGCCGGCCGGGCCCGCCCGTGGGGTAAGGGGGTAGGCCTGGCTGCCCTCACACCCTTACAATCCGAACGACAGGCCCTCCGACGAGGCCGAAGGGTTTCTTTTATTTCTTCCTAGCCGCAACCAGTTTCGCCCACTCACCGAGGAGGCGGCCACATCCAGCGGCTTCTTCCTCCGGTCCATGGCGGCCTCCGCTCCTCCGATAACCCCCTCACCGGCTGCCTTCCTCCCCGCTTTACGGTCTTACCGTAAAGCGCAGCGAAAGCGAGGCGCTATTGCGACAGTGCTGGTGAGGCCAGGCGGGCGCTTCCCCGCCGCCATGTTGGAGAGGTCAGGGGTTTGTGGATGGCTGAGGGCGGCGCGCTGGGCCCTGCAGCACCGCTGAGCAGGCTGCCTGCTGTAATGGCGGGTCCTTCTTGCCTCAGAGCCTCCCGCTGTGGCCGCAGGGCAGCCTGCGAGCAAGCCTGGCTCAGTCTGGTGTAGCCTGGTGGTGGCTGAAGTTCTCCCAGCCAGTGGCTTCCCTGGCTGTGTCCCAGTTGTGTGTGAAGTGAGGGTTCTGGGCAGGTGGAGGCCAAATTCTTCAGGTCCCCTGTTGGAAATGGCTGCCTGTGGCTGCTGTGGCCAGTGAGAGTGGTGTGGGGTGCTCTGAGGTTGCTGGGCTGGGAGATGGCCCCTGTGGCCAGAAATGAAATACAGCCTGGCAGCATTGCATGCCTGCCCAGAGCTGTTTGGAGCTAAATGAAGAACTACATGGTTGAAATTTGGTAAGGACAGAAAAAAGGAAAAAAAACCAACAACAATGTCTTTCCTGCCTTAGTTGATACATGAGTGCTATGATTACCTGAAATGCTTCTTGGAGCTGGAGACAGCCATGTCCTTCAACACTAGGCTGGGTTTAACCCTATGACCACTGCCCTCTGGGCTGCCTTTTTTTAAGCTGTGTGTTTGGGATGAAGTGCTGTGGCTGTCCTGCTGTCCCTGGCCCGCTGCCCGAATGGATCTGTGCTGAGGAGGTGGGAATTAATTAGCCACTGCTTTGCAGGACTGACAATCATGGTCCACAATACCTAAATACAAATTCACCTATATGTGCTGGAGCCAGCTCTGTAACCTCAGAGGTGAGTGCAGGTGGCTCTTGGGGAGCAAGATTCAGTGTTTTACTTACACTGAGTAGCTCATTGTATCCTTTATCATCCCCATGAAGAAAAAGGACTATCTGTTAGGTTTTAATTTAAAGTGAGTCTGAAGATCATAATTATCCGGAGTTACAAGAGGAAGCTGCCTTTCACTTGTCTTTATTAAAGTAGAAAAATATAAGGCACTCCGATGTTGTTGCTTGGCAATGTGACAGCTGATAGAAATGTTGGATACAGTTCTTTTAATTTTTGAAATGTTTTGCTTTTGTGTTTGGAAAGCTGGGTCAGGCCTGTATTTAAATAGTTTATGGACACAGAATGGCAGTGCTGACAGAGATACACAGTTGCTAAGTAAGCTACACCTATATGCCAGGGAGTGTGAAGTCTACAATTCAGAAAGAAAAATTTGTGGCCCTAGTGAAGCTGCCTTGCTTTTGGCATTTTAAGAGGAGAAGGAAAAATGGTGGGAGAGAACAGACACAGAAAAGTGCAGGTCAAATTAGAGGCATAAGATTTACTATTTTAATCTTCAGTGGTAGAAGAGAAATGAGCATTACTGAAAAATAGGACAAAGGCATGAAAACATCTGTGCTATTCTAATTAAATCTCACTTGAACAAATCACGTGGTGTTGCCTGTTCAAACCTCACCTAGAGACAACACTGAGAAGATCCAGCCCAAACCCAGCCCTGGGTTGATTCTAATTCCCACCTTTTATTTGAGGGCAGTGTCTCTGTGAGGGCACATTTCCCTCCTGAAGTGCATTAATTCTTCTCCGCATTGCTCACCTTCTACATTACAGCAACAGGACTCGCTTGCTTACCCATCAGGGTTTCCAGTGCTGTAGGTGTTGAGCACCTTCAGGAGCTGAGGAGTATTTTTATCTTGAGATTCTCATAACATGAATTGGTGCTGAAGAGCTGATAGTCAGACTTGGTCCTGTACACCTTCTTGTAACTGCAGGTGCAAAAACATGTAAAGATATCTTGGTCTCTTGAAAACTTGGTCTGTAAAATATAATGGCCACTGGCTAAGCTTAATGTCTGAGAAACCCTACATGACCAGTTTTAGAAACGTAGCACTAGATAGTTGTACAGGCACTTCAATGCTTCTTTATATTTTCTGAATTAAATGTAAAATGATACAAATGCTAAGTCTATTCACGCTACTACTCGGGAAGACGCTTTTTAACCTGTCTGTCATCTCTCCCCTTCAGATGCCTGAAACCAGACCTTTTCTTGCAGGATTCCTTAGTCTGTGGCACTGCCTAAGCCCCTGTAAGGCTTTTTGCAGCTGCTTCCTACATTCTGTCCTTGCTACATATTCACTCTATGACCTGCGCATATCTCCTAGCAAATGGCTTGTCACAGCACCCTGATTTCAATTCCTAGCAGCGCTTTACAAGCAAGCTCACCATCTCTTGTAATGTTAGAAGCATGTTCTCCTTTACCACATTTACAAACCCATTTCTTTGATTTGTTCTCTCCTTCCTGCGCTCTCTGTTTTTGTGTTTGCCTGTCCAAGCCATGATGGAACAACACCCTTTCTGGTTTGGGTGTTGCTTAAAATGGCTCAGTATCATCTTGGCAGCCCTTTGCGTATCAGGTGTTACTTGGAAAGTCTTAGGGGATATGTGAAGATAGAAAGAGGCCCTGGAGGTGTCAGCATCTCTCTTAAAATGTTCCTTTCTGGTTGAGGGTGAGATGCATGACCAGGGTTGTAAGGAAAATCTGTGCTACTTGAGTGGTTACATGACAGGATGCAGAATAAGGAATTAATCTTAGAAATTGCAGGCTAGCTCGTGGTGTTGCTGTGAGCGAGGATCTCAGAGCTGGCGCTTCTGCGCTTGCAAGAAACGGTAGATTGTTTTGAGGGTAGCAAAAGTGTGGCTAGACGTGCCTGAATTGGGAGTGAGTCAGTCAGTGTCCCTGATGCTGTATATAACTGGACTCGTGCTAGGAGATAACCTTTAGCTCTCATTGTCTTGCCATTAACATCAGCAGGACCCACGGGCAGTGCTAAAAGCAGCCCCGGGCAGAGGGGAGCACTGTGCTTGCCGGAGCCATGGGTAGCTTGCGTGCTGTCGTGTTTCCCTAGGTGTGGGATTCAGCACTCGAGTGTGCATCCAGACAGATGGCTTTCAGATCACTTCGTAAACGTCACTTCAGTAGTCTTGTGTTTACAGTCTAAGAACTGACAAGCTTTCACACATACTGTTCCCTCAAAAAGGCTCGATGTCAACTCTAACCTGTGGAAGGCTGTTCTGGGCATTTTTTTTTTTAATCCAGCCCACAGGCATTCATAAAATGCCAATGAGAGAGGGAGAGCTGAAATAAGAAGCTTTCCAAGTTGTGAAGCGAAATCAGCTTAGCTTAAAGAAGTGAGATCAGGAAGAGGAGGAATCTGCCGTTGTATGTATAGTACAGACTCAGTGTGGCTGTGCTATGCTTATTTCTTATCGGGACTCTGTGAAAGCTGTATAAACTACCATGTCTGATCTCAGACTGCTGATAGCCCTGACTTCCTGGGGAATAATCGATTCAGCACTTCTCATTAGTATGCTGCTCATTTTAGCATGTGGCCTAATTGTGTTTACTTCCACAAAGCTGCATCAACACAAAAAGCTTGTTTATTATTTTTGAGGAAGATGGGGGATCGCAGTAGATTGTTCTAAGGGGATTTTATATGAAACAGTGGTGTTTCAGTGTCTTGTAAGACTGATGAGAGATACTGCACAAACTTGAAATTAAGCAGTTGCAAAGCAGGCCCCGTACCAAAACTAGACTTACAGGAGCCCAAAACCAAATTACACTGATGTTTGGGGGATTTGCACTCTTATCACAGACACTAAGGTTTCATCCTACCCTAAGGATTTGATGTTCTATCTTACTTTCTACATCTTGGCTTTAAGATGAAATAAAACTGTGGGCAAATAACAGCTGGACATTTTGTGAGATAAGCCTTGATGCTAGGGCACTGTGCCCTTGCACACTTTTATAGCCACTTGACATAAGGTAACATATCCATGTTTCTCTGAGGGATGGAGAAATTCCTTCTGGTTTTCTTTTCTCTTTTTTTTCAGGCTCTTCTCAGAAATTAACATACGAGGGAATTTGTGCTATGTCAACAAATAAATTTTTAAAACAGGGCAAGAATATTTTTGCTTTCCATAATTTGCATATTCTTGGTTGCCGAGAATAACAGCTTGTTGAATTTGTTAAAGACTTAGTGTGTATGAGGCTACAAGCAAAACTGTTTGCAAACTAATTCTTGTAACATGAGACATCAAAAAGGGTTTCTTTCCTTCATGGCAAAGATTACATGTCTTCCCAAGATGAATTCCAGCATATCTTTTTTTTTACTTCTGTAAATTTTCGTAAAGGCACATGAAGCATACCCTAGGTTTTTGTATTTTAGCATTGCCTTTACAGAAGCATTGAATTGCTGCAGCAAAACAAAAAAAAACAAAACCCCATCCATATCTAGATGTATTCTATGTATGGTTTTACAGTGCACTTGAAATCATATCTTCTGTCAACACTATTGTCCTCTCTATTTGCATGTGTTATGAGAGAGGGAGTGCTGCTATATGCTCTTTGTGTAGAAAGACATTGTAATTCCTCTCAAATACAGCTAGAAAATAGGGATTCCCTAAGAGCGTCCAACAGCTTAGATAGATGTAGGCTTAATGCCATTTTACAACAGAATCTGTAAGGGGAACATAGTTATTGTAACTGGAATTAGCTTAGAAAACTGTTATTGATAGTCTTGCTTTTTTTTTTAGTACGCATTTTATCAAGCCTTGATGAAAATAGGCATAATGACCCTTCCCCCTCTGGGGAGCGTGTGTGCCTGTTCTTAAGTCTGACAGGCATAAGAAAAAAATTGGGTACCAGTTCAAAAGATTAATAGGTTTCTCACTATTTTCCTGTACTAAGGGGTATAAATACACACATTTTCTAAACGGGAGATGTAAGAAAGTGCCAAAGAAAACTGGTTTATCAATTACATTGGGGAGCAGCTGTATGTATTTTCATCTTCAGAACAGGAACTATTGAACTACACTGTGTTGTGAATATATTGTTGTCTGTGGTTTCTG